ATGAATGCCCACAGGTATTCTGCTTTCATTCGTTTATTGATAAGAACAAATAATATATTCGATTTTTTCGACCTTTCACATTATTGAGAGCAATACTCATTCATTTATTTATTATTCGTTATCAATGTAAAAACAATGCGAATACCAATGATTTAATACCCTACAAATGTATATCCAGGCGAAATAATAAAAAAACTGCTGTTGCGATTTTTCAAACAAACGATCCAGGAAATGGGAGAAACAAGTGCATAAAGGTGAAATAAAGCAAAAGTCAATTAATATATGCTCTCCCCAAAGCATTTTAAGCTCAATTTCAATCGTTCATGGTCGTGAGAGAAAATAAAACATTTCTCATTGTGTTGACAGGTCAAAATATATCGATGCGCTTCGCTTATTTCCCATTGATGGTCCATTTTATATAATTATTTACGTGACCAATGGCAGTATCTGTTTCACACAAGCGATGCATCTTTATTTAAATTATGATTCTCATGCCAGTGCATAATAAAATCATGGACACGATTGAATTTGTGTGTGAAACACGAAATTTCACAGAATGTCAAAAAATCAAACGGGATTTCAAAAAATATTCTAATTGATTGAATGTGCGGTCTTGTTTCCAAAGTAAACACGCAAAAATCATTATTTAAAATGCGTGTGTTCAAATTCCACTCGGATTAAAAGCTTGTATTGCGTGGCTAGACATTCAATAAAATAGTATGTCGATGTGGAAAGTGTACAAAGACACACACGCAATATTCGACCATAAGCTCGATAAGAGAAGCAAACGCATTAAGACACCCACACAAACACACATTGACAATGAAAATCGTTACTATTCTGATTTTCTTTTTTTCTTCCTCGGTAGGTTAGCGGCGCATGTTTGAAAATTATAGTGAACGTTGGAAACAAGTTTAAACAGACGATTCGGTGTGCCTCTTTTGGTACAACGCCGGGTAATTTATTATTCAACTTTTATCATTATCATCAATTTCGAGTGTCTCGCAGTTTTGAGGCAGCTGCATATGCGCGTACTCCGGAATAGTTTTTTAAAGTTTACACTATGTTTTCGGTTTTCCAGAGTGAAATTAATTCTGAAATTAACTACATTTGATGGCGTGTTTTCATTTGACAAATTGCATAATCTTTTCCGCACATGTACATACTCTCTCTCTCTCTCTGTCTCTATCCCATTATCCCTCCGTTTCCCCACTTTGTCTCGTGTCATCGAATCGAGAATGTTGTTGCTGTTGTGTCAGCATGTTTCTGCCGCACAGACAAATGAAAAGTTTCACAGTTGAGAATATATGCATACAAAATGCGTGTATTGTTACACAGCACTTAACGTTATTGCCGATAATAAATGCTGATTGTTGAATCTATCAACTGTTTCGAGCTTATTTTATCCAAATTCCCAAAAATAACAATTACTCGCTGATTTTGGATTGAATATATTTGACTTTCTCAAGTATGTGATGATCTATTGAAAACGTTGCTGGCAACAGGGGATTGATTAGCGTGTACTTCACTCATTTTGGAATGAACTCCGTTTTTTTTATTTTCTTTTTAAAAGACAGGTCTTTTCAGTATTATTCCATCTGAAAGAAGGTTCTGATAAAAGAATTTAGCAAAATCAGTGAGTACCACCTGCCAGACTCGAACGTGAATTTGAATACGAGTGAAAGAGACAAATATACAGACGGGTAGAATTAGTATTGAAATCACGTGGAACTAAAGATGTCCTTAATTCCCTTTTTCTGGACTTCATCATTCACACCCCAAGCGGGTCGAATTTTTGTTCTCTGTAAAAGTCTGCGTGCATCCCCTTGGTTGCGATGCTTTTAATTTTAGATCCGTTAAGTATACATGAACAATTGAACGCTGAATCGCTATCATCAACTATCAGATTCATTTACTTCGATGCTCGAGCATCGTGTGATAATTGCACGCCAATTTCAATGTAATTAAATTTTATTGTGATACATTCTGTGTTGTATGGCATGATGTGATTGATTTTGCTTACCTGCGATTTCATTGGATCCGTGTTTAGTTGACACATGTATCCTCCTCTATCGTCTTCTGTCACCGACTTTATGTGCAAATTCCATGTCTGCAAATCTGAATGAGACACCGTAACCCGTGGATTGTGTGTGATGACATGCTCGTGAATTGCTTGAATGGCTTTTGTATCTGCTTTAACCCATCTAAAATTATATCCAACCCGTGAAAAAACTTACCCAAACATGCAGGAGGAAACTACGAAACTTACCCAACCTGTGAAATTGGTGAAACATTATAAATTCCAAAGTAAACTCAAATTGTGTGTAATTCATGATTTTGAAATGCATTTCGCTTAAAGCGAGCATGCCACAGCAGCGGCAATAACAACAAATGAGCTTGTGTGCAATGCACAGAGAAACTATGAACAATCATCGTCGAAATTGAACGACAGTCTTTTTCAACTTGTTTTTGTTTTCAATGCAATTGCTAAGAATGCTATTGAATAACAGTCGTATTTTCCAATGGTTTTTTTAGAAATATAAATCACTGCTACCTACCACTCGCTGAATAAAATGAATATTGACATATCGGTGTTCAATGTGCTCGCGTACGATGCGGGTAAATACGACGACGGTTTTATTAAGACATTTAAGTCAATAAAAATTGAATTGATGCACATTTCAACGCTTGAAAAATTCATTGAAACATGCATTTATTTGATATTGTGAATAGATGACGTTGTGTCGTGATATATCAGCGTGCCTTCATAAAAACAGGATTACGAATTGAAATTGAAAAACCACAGACATTGATAAATATTCAATATATATAAGGCTTCATGTCAGCGTGAGCACTTGATTTTTGGAAAATATTTTCAACCTCGGAAATACAAATGAATTTCATTTTATCAATTGATTGCATGTGCATTGCAACTAGTCAGAATTTTCATTAGCAATGCATCGTTAGTGCTTAATTAGCTTACTACAATGAATTGAATTGTCGATTTTGAATTTAAACGAGTTACAAATTAAATATATTACCAATTTATCAAAGCGAGAATATGACTCTCTTTGTATTTGCAACAATGTTGCCGTGTTGAGTGTAGCAAACACGTTTTTATATTATGTTTGCATGTTTTGAATTAAAGAGCTCTCGAAACACACTTAAACGGTTTACAATGAACCATGTTATTCATGAAAAAAAAATGAAAAGTGCAATGTACGACTGCTTTTGAAGTTTTGTGAGCTAAAGGGAGGTTAACTTTGATGTCGAGGCAGTAGAATTAATATTCGGAAAATATTTACTGAACATTTTCAATTGTCTACCGTCCATTTAATCAATTGTTTTGAATTGACAGAATAAACTGCGTTTAAAAGATAAGCGACGTGGTGATTCCGAGGCTCCAGAACTCTCGCAAATATTGATTTTGTTTATCTATATTTAGACAATATTTTTGGCTTTTTATATTGGCTTTTCAAAAGAACCATTTAATTTGAACACGAACTCGTTGAAGATTTTAATTTAAACTAACAAAAGTGCACTTTGGATGAATTAAAGCATTTCTCATTTCAAAGTGAAAATGGAATGAGATCTTTGGACATGATTGCAAATCACCAAGCACAAAAAAAAAACAAAATTGACAACTTAAGTTATTTCGAGTGGTCGTTATTTTCTCTGTTTTGCGACGAAATAAGAGCTTTGAAAATCGAAATAGATAAATTGATTGGTTGACTTCAGAAATGAAAGTTGTCCGTGCATCGAAACCAATGCGACCGTGCTCATGAAAAACAAAAGACGTTGGAGTACGATGAGAAACGGTGATGGTGAACGAGAAAAAGAATAGCGATGAAGTATTCGAGATGCCGCTTTATTAAAAGCGACATTAAATGAGCATCGAACGAATACCAATTGGATGAAAAGAGAGAAAATGGCAATTTTATTTGTTTTAACGATTGAAGACTTGTTGAGTGGACACATTTCTGTCTTAAACTTTGGAAATATGAAGCCACACACAAGCAGCGATGTCACGTCAAACAAGCAAACCTCTCGATCACAAAGCGCTTTGAATTTTAACGCAGAAAATCGAAAAGTGGCATTAAAAACACAGAAAAAGGCATTAAATCGCGTTCGAATTTCTTTCTCAATGCGCCATTCAACATTCGATCTGAAAGTGATAGAGGACAATTGATGACACAAAATGCCACTGCTTCAAAAAAGAAAATTCAAATGCACATTTGTCGAATAGAAGCTTGGTAATTATCGTCTTGACATTTTTTTGCGAACGGCATTGGTAAAACGATTGGAATAAAAATCAAAAAGACTTTGACAAAGGGAATGAGGACAAGATCTATGCCACTTAAATATGAAATCAAATCTTTTATTTTCTTCAAAAAGGAATGGAAAAATAAAATTTGAAATGCAGCGAATCGAATAAATCTTATACGACCTTCAAAACGTTCATATTAGTTATTGAATGTAATGCAAATTGAATAGAGATGAAAATCGAAGAAGAAAAGCTTGAAGTTGCAAGACAAGTAGCTGGTTATTTATAGGCAACCAAATCAATTTCATTTTAATATTCCGCATTTGCAGCATACGATGGAACGGCAAACATATGCAGATTGACAAAGCATAAATTCTTTTTATTCGTACAACAAACGAATTGAGAAGCAATTGCTTATTGCATATATATAGGCAAAAGTAAATTGTGCTGGCTTTAAAGCCATTTCTGTCAAAATAGGATTATTTAACATTAGAAAGTACATTTTCAATTGTTACAAAGTATGTACACACTTAAATACAATCAGGCTTCGGAGAGAAAGGCCATTGTTTGGATATGTGTGAAGGAAGCGAGAGTGAGTGGAAAGATGAGGGAAACTGGTGGTAAATGAAAAGGAGAATACTTACTCGATATCCACCTAAATGTCGTACGTGACAAGTGAATGTCGCATCTCTGGCAACAGCTACCGAAATATTTACAATCGGCTCAGCGAATTCTGGTTGAAATGTGGAGGCGACTGCAATGAAATCGAATAGACATACATTTTGAAATAGAAAATACAAAAATGAACACACTCAACAATTGAGAAGTGAAGTGAATACACTATATACAGTTACATAACAATTGATACGATTTTTGTTGCAAACGAACGACGAAAATAGTGCGCAGGAAGAACAGAAGAGGGGACATGACAAACGTTAAATGAATAAGAGATATTTCTAGTCAAGTTGGCAAGTTCTATTTGTAAAAGTGTTGGGGACAATTCGTTCGTCTCTCGATTTTGTGATCCTTTTGACGGCTGAATTTCAAAATGTTTCCATTGTTTTGTGGCATTAAATGGTGCATTTTGTGCAAGCGCAAGCTTAACGTTTAATTGACACTTGATCTAGCACTTGATTATCTATATGCGCTATTGTTTTGAAGCCAAATGTAGCAATATTCATGAGCCATTTCACACCAATGACAAAAACCGACATCGACGACGTTTGTCAGCATCATGAACCGATTATGTATTCCATTGTAATTTTATAAACACGATTCAGTGATGTGAGGTTACTCTTCAATCAAATGACAATTCAATTTTAATTCGAATTGTTTTTTTATTGAATTTCATTCTCTGTTCTTAAAAATAATTCTTTCAAAGAATGAATTTTTCACTCTTGAAATCAACAATGTTATTAGTTGAGAGACGATTTTCCATAAAAAAATACTCTTGAAAGCTCTTTTTTTCAAAATGAGAGAAACACTCGCAATTGTTTGTTCCCATAGATGATGACGTAAAAAAATTTAGGGGGGGGTGATGGCAAAATTCCGTAGGAAAAATCCATGGAGGGTCCCTGACGATGTCAAAAATTTGTACGAAATGAGGATAAAATCGTTTTATTTTTGCTCTTCACTTTTTTGGCGAAAATCCCTAGCAATCGAAAGAATTTTCCTACTTCAAATTGCAAATCCAATAATGACAAGAAAATCGTTTTTTTTTTTGAAAGTTACTTTTTGAGGCGAAAATCCCTAGCAAATCGAAAGAATTTTCTCGGCCAAAAAAAGTGAAGAGCAAAAAAAAAAGAAAAAGGTCCTCATTTCTTCCAAAATTGCTGAGGGTTCCCAAAAATATTTTAGGGGGGTCATCCGACCCCTAGGAACCCTCGTCATCACCTATGGTTTGTTCCGCATTCAATTCGATGAATAAGTCTTTCGATTACACAAGAATTATAAAGAAATGTAACACCCAATTACTAAAACTTCTGATTTGTCTTGTCGCTAATCGTGTGTTTATTGATGATGACAAACAAAAAGTGACGATACACAAGTTGAACCAAAGAAAAAAAAAACGATGGATAAAGTGTAAGAGCACTGTAATCCAATGGCAAAGTCTGTCGAATGTGAATATCGAATCATCTGAAGAGCCATTAAAGTAATCAGTTATTGTCAACAACGACGACAATCTCGAGTTAACATTGAAGTCAAGTTCACTGAATCGTTTCTTTGATTCGAAGCACACTGTGTGCGCTTTAAAATCACGTGGACGTATTATGCCATTGGTGGCCGGTGCCACTACAAACAAGGTATCAAACGACAGCACACCAAAAAAAAACGGTTTACACTTTTTGTCGATGTTGGTGTTGTACTTGTGCTAGTGTATACAAGAAGCACACTCTTGACCCGTATCATGAATAAATTGTACACATATTATTTGTTTTTTGAGTGTACATTTTCATTCCAGTTGAAGGCACATGACACTAGCCCATTCGTTTTGTGTGCTTTTGGTGGAGAGAGTGAGGTGCATGGACACAACGACTACAACAATGGGGCAATGGTGCAAACAAACAATCCCAAAGAAATGGGAATATAAAACATGAACACTTATGAAATGAAAGTGCACGACTGAAAAGCCAGAATCCATAATCGTAGCTACAGCACTGTAACAACAACAATAACACTACAAAGTGAGGACAATGATTCACATTCGCATTGAATTTATTCTTCTACATATATTTTTTTTGGTTGTATGAAACTGTGTGCACATTCACATTCATGAGCGCAAAATTCCCTATGCCATTGCTTAAGTGCAACCAGTTTATGCTTGACGCTCTTGTTATAGCCGGAGTTTATCTTTCGAAGAATGTGACTCTTTCGAACTTTGGCTGTTCTCTCACTTGCTCTTCCTCGTCTGCATTCATCGTGTTGACTGGCGCTGACAAAAACAACCGAATAATGCATTGCTGCTTTTTTCCCACTGTTGTAACTCTTATCTCTATAAATATTTAATATGATTTCTGAACTCAAGTTCAACCAGTGAAAATCCATGGAATAAAGATAGAGAGAGAGAGCGACACACACATGAAACGTGGCGTGCGGTTCGATGCTGCTAGACACAATGTGACAAAACGAAGCCAATGCAATGAACACGAATAAGAGGAATGTATTTGAGGAAGAGAAATGTAGCGAAGAAAATTTAATGAGAGATTTGTGATGGTTTTGTTCGCGCTTTTTGCCATCGGCCAACTCACAGTATACAGATTTATAGCTGCCAAAAATGCAAACGAACATTTTTGTGGAAATTCGTATCGCAGTTTAACTGTTGGGAATTGAATTAAAATGACATTATAGTCATTGTCGTCGATGGAATGAACGGAGTTAAAAAAGTCGTCTGCTAACATCTTATCTGCTCTCGATGATGATATTCTATTCTTCAGGCAGAAGAACATATCCAAAAAACCGTACATACACCAAAGAAAAAAATGAAAATTGATGTGATAAATGTCAGTTTGCATTGGGTTATGCACTTGCGTGTACAATGACACACAGCGCATTCAATATATGGGCACACTGATTTCATCTGTAAATAGATGGAGAAAATTCAAATGTGTGTTCATACTCCGGATAATAAAATCACATCACAATCCATAACGACTCCTGAACAACAGAAAATGCGCTCGCAACGAACACACAAAAACGGAAATTTGTGCGAAAAGCTTTCAAAAGAAGTACGAAAACAACCATCAAAATTGGTGTTTTGTCGAATTGGCTGCGAGTGTGTGTGCGTGAGCGCAACAAATACAATGCATATATATGGGAATATAAAAACAAATGCATTTGGATACGGAGAGAGAGAGAGAGAGAGAGAGAGAGAGAGAGATGGAGAGAGAGAGAGAGCAAAGGAAGAAGAATAGCCAAGGGCATTTGGATCCTTTTACATTTGCTTCGTTTTGGGCATTTGCTGTTTTGAGTTCAAAAAAGAAAAGAGCATCGAAATGTATAGAAACAACTTTCTCATTGCAAACAAAAAGTTGAAACAAACGAATGAACGACACTCCATTTGATTTGACTGTGAGACCAAAAGAATGTAGGAGAATGCAAGCAAAAGACGAAGGCAGAAAGAATTGTGTAAGAATAAAAGGAAAGAGAGAAATCAACGACAGAGAAAGATACAGTGGCAAAGTGCAAAAAGGAAACTAAAAACTGGCAATTCGCAATGGCAAATTATTATTGTAGCAAAAACAATGCGAATTAAAGCGACAGAGAGAAAATATTTCTCAGATGTATCCCATGATACACAAAGCATCCGATGGAATTTGAAGAGCCAAGAGAACGACATTTGCATATAGTATACTTTGTGAATTGAGCTTTTTACCAGAGCAATGAAATTGTCATAATAACAACGAACTTAATGTGAATTCGTTTGGATTACACTTAATTTTTATCTCTTTCATAATAATCGGACACTTGAGCACCAACAGCAACAATTCACGAAATGCATGTTTGTCGTCTCGCACCCAAAAATCATAATAATTGTGCAATTTGGTGTTTTCTTTTGTCACATGGCAAAACTAACGGCGACAATTTGATACGCATTCTTAATTTTATCGTTTCGTCTTTGCTCACATTGCGAAAAGTCAAAAAATCATTCGATTGCAAATGCTTTCTTTCTTTTCTTTCTTTCTTACTTTTTGCACATCTTTTGAGAGAATTTGTTGAAATGTTGTGAATTTGGTATGTGTGTGTGTGTGTGTGTGTGTTTTTATTCGTGTTTTCAGCGAGATGTGATTATTGTTTTTCTTGCTTGTATCGTCATTGTGTGCAGTCGATTGCGCGCCAGCAACAACAGCAACGAATGTGTCACTGTTGCTTATGCCTTTTGTGTTACTTGCAAATATTATGTTTTATGCACAACACACAATGATAATGCTTAGTCAGATATGCAACGGAATCACTTACACTATTTCTCTTTTTCTCGTCTCAACTTATTATGTTTTTATTTTTATTTCATTACTCCATTTCATCTCCGTTTCATTGTTTGCTCTTTCGGTATCTCTGTTTCTCTGTGTTTTTTTTCTCTCTTCTCTATTCTTGTGGCCCCGTGTTGTTGTCGCTTTGGGATTGTTCACTCTTTTGTATATGAGCAATGTGACGTAATCTTGACAAAAAAAGAACACTTGCCGAATTCAAAACACACGCACACTGACTCGTGTGCGAAAACTATAATGATGCACACAAAATAAATGGCAACGATTCAAAATTGTTGCATTCGGCACATTTTTACCAGATACGTATCATGAATTACGAGTGAAACGTTGTTCTCTCTCTCTCTCTCTCTTTTAGATAGAGAGAGAACATGAATTGGTTGGTGTTTTTGTTGTGAACCATCCTTATTATCACATACCAAAGAGAAAAGTATCGTTTTTTTGCTTCTTGTCACTTTAGATTCCATTGTTCATTCTCATTCTTCCGACAAATTCTCGGTTCCTTTTTTTTGGTCAAATTCTCTGTGCAGCTTATTTTTGTTTCATTTGTATAATCATATTTGAGAGTATAATTTAGCATCAGATTTATATGATGATTTCTGCAAGGATTTTCATTATGACAGTTATTCGAATTACATTGTGATGAAGATTCGTGCACGCACATACCCACCGAAAACCTCAAGACGTAAACATTCACAATTCGAGACCAACATCACATTAAGCGTGGTCTGGTTGTAGAAACGAACAAACTAAAATATCATACAAAATTGTT